CGCCTCTCTGTCCAGGGTGGGCCCCGCCTCTCTGTCCAGGGTGGGCCCCACCTCTCTGTCCAGGGTGGACCCTGCCTCTCACCCGTAGACAGTTGGAGATAGACACCAGCACCCCTCCCCACCCCAGCACCCTTTGCGACCCCAGCAGGGCTAAAGTGTGACGGAAACTGGATGGATGGACAATTCAAAGTGTTTTACATGAATTAGACAATAAAATAAAAGGAAAATAAAAGCAAATGAAGCTAAAATTACGATTAAAGCAGGTAGTAAAACCAAACAGTTGGACCAGAATCTTAAACTAATAAATTCTCAGTTAACAGTTTAACTTCAACAAAGGGAGCTTTAAATAAACGTGTTTTAAACTTTGACTCAAAGAGCTTTGCTTAAAGCCTTAAAAGGAGGCGGAGTTTCCAGAAGCGAGCTGAGGTCCAGATAAGAGGAAGGAAGGAGGCGTTCAGGCTGGAAAACAAGAATAAATGAACAAAGATCCTTTGGGTTGAGCAGGTTCTCTCTGACAGCAGATTCTGCTCCCGTTCACATTTCCACCTCATCACTTCTTTTCTCCTCAGGGCCCCGCTGCAGTGACCCTTGTCCAGAAGGCCAGTGGGGCCCCCACTGCAACCGCTCCTGCTCTGAGCACTGTCCCAACAGCGACACATGTTTGAGAAAAACAGGGGAGTGTGTCTGTCGCCCAGGGTACAGCGGCGCCGCCTGTCAGAACAGTAAGTCCACCTTTGGGCCTCAGCAGGACTGGAAGCTCCTCTGGTTGCTTCAGCTTTGACCTCCTTGTCTTTCAGCCTCCTCAGAGAAGGCCGACAGCGTCATGGTCCCTCTGCCTCCAGGAGAGAAGGAGTCATGGGGGGCCATCGCAGGCATTGTGGTGCTGGTCCTCCTGGTCGTCCTGCTGCTGGCTCTGCTGCTTCTTTACCGCCGCCGGCAGAAGGACAAGCAGAGCAACACGCCAACCGTGTCCTTCTCCAGCAGCCGCACCGTCAACTCAGAATACGCCGCCCCAGGTATGAAACTCAAAGGCTGTGTGAGACCCAGACGAGGACCCCTCTGACTCAACACCCTCCCTCAGCTGGGGGTCGTATCCATTAATGGACCCCAGAGGATTGACGTGATTAGATCAATAAGGACTCCAGGTGTCAGAATGATTGAAACATAGAATCCCAGCATCAATTAACACTTTTTCACAATATTGCTTTAAACTCTTCTTACAGGAAATAAATCATTTTCTTCAGCATGTTTCTCTGGGAAACACTTTGGTACACTGACTGCCCAGTAGTGGGCAGTATAGGCAGTTTTTCTAACCCTGCTGCTCAGGTCACACTGCTTTCAGGTTTTAGATGTTTCCCAGATTCAGTTCAGCTGATGGTCTCTGAGGGTCCGGTTATGCTGCATTCATCTGAAGCACATATATAAAGCAGAAAAACACCTAAACCCTGCAGAGCAGTTTGCTTTGGGGACCAGGGTTGGAAAACGCTGCATAAGGGACCAAAACCAATGATGTGCTTCATTTCTCCCTGAAAGGAACAGCAGATGGCCGCTGGTTCTGGTTCTGCTGGAGGTTTCTTCCTGTTCAAAGGGAGTTTTTCCTCTCCACTGTC